GCAGGTGATGACCACGTGTATGTCGTATATATATTTTACATACATCTATATTTCATCAATATAATAATAATTTCTGTCTTATACACCTAGGTATACTCCCGCCACTATATATTTATATACACCCCGTGTGCACAGCTTAAACCCATATAGCAGGAAGCTGTATGAAACAATTCGCCCATATCTCGTCCCGATGGCATATATATATATCCTCAATGATATTTTATACGAATTAATGCACTCTACGATAGTCAAATTCGTACTCCATCATTATTATTATAAGTGTTATACCTCCAACTATGTATCTAGTTATACATAGTACCTATATGGTACCTATTATTCATTGGCGCAACTACACATTTGAACTAGGGGGTGCTTAAGCTCCAGGTTTTTTGTGATTCAATGAGACCTAACAAATAAAAATTTTCTAGGGGGTGCTAATTTTGACTTAGGGGGTGCTAAGGACCCAAAGCACCCCCCCTAGTTGCGCCAATGCTATTATTACATTTTCGTATATAACAACCGCGACATAGTGTGTATAAATCCATCGCCGCCGGCAGTTTTTCCGACGTATGTATGTACTACGCTGCAGACACGCAATACTCACACACTGAGCTGTTTATATTATAATATTATATATATTTTATAGAGTTGTAATAACGCTTATTTTATATTAGGTACCTACATATATATATATATATATATTGGACGACGGGAAATAACAAGTCGGAAAATGTTACAACAATCGATTTACGTGCGGTCCTGTCACGCCATCGTATAATGATATTATAATGGCTAATGTGTCGTTACGACCGCCGCCATCGATAACACCGATAATCACTTTTTAACCGACTGAATAGAGTTTTCTGGTCGCGAACGCCGTCGAATCGCACAATGTATACAACAATATTATAACACATATTATATATATATATATAGTATAGATGCTCCGTATATTCTATATTCGTAAATTATTATGCAGTGTGTACTATAGTTGTCAAGGTTATGTCCCGGCGAGATTTGTCAAGCGCACCGGTTGATTAAACCGCGCGATGATGACAATAATAATAATAATATCGTATTATACTATTATATATTATACATAGGTATAATATACTTATGTACATATATTATTAGAATATACTACGCCACATACACATATAATATAGTTTATACGTATAGTAAACGCGCAAAAAAGGAATAATATATACATACTGAGCAGTGTGTATGAAATATTCTATATTATTATATTACATCTGTAGGACACTGTATATGTTATTATATGATAATAATATGTACCCACGAGGAAATAAAGCTGGTGCGTGTTTTTGAGCTGTATATATATGCACACTATATATATATTAGGATATACACCGCGATATCAGTAATATAATAGTTGTGTGTGTGTGTGTGTGCGAGATCGCAGTGTTATATATACCATGTTATATAGAAATAATATTTAATGATATTTATTACAATATTTACAATAATAAAGAGCAAAACTGAAGAAATGATAGGTGTATTTATAATTTAATTAAAATATATTATATTATAATCATAGTTATATTATATTATTATATATATGTATATAATTTATAATATTGTAAAGGCATGACGAGTCTAAATTGTGCTTAAATATACATTATTCTTTCAATCTTATCATTACTTCATATATTTTAGTACCTATACTTATTATATTGTATATTGTGAATATATTTGTTTAGATATTATTTACAGTGAAAAGACTAGTTCCCTGGGATAATGGTCCCTTTAGCCCGGGCCCGACCGCCATTCTATATAAACGTGTAGATTTCTAGCGAGGGTTTGTACATGTACCTAGCTATAATGCCATATATTGCAGCAGTATAACGTATATAGGTAGGTATAACATGAATTATAAATGTGATGCAAAGGTTCTAATAAACTTCACAACGGTATACAAAGTTTAGTTCAATAATAAATTGTTGTCGTACATGTATTATATTGTGTTATCATAAGGAACTGTTACGTTAGTTGGTGCTTATATTATATATATATATATGAGCTTCGTCGTGGGGTCCGGTCGGACTCCGTTTTGTGACCCCGTCTCGACAGCGACGTGTTTCGCTCGGGAAAAAAATCTATTATTAATAAAGTTAGATATATATATATATTTACCTGCATTTTAAATGTGTATAAAACTGCGTATATATATGGGAGCACGCAAAGTTCTTGGCAACCGAGCCGTTTTACTGTATAAACAACACCCTTAAATAATATAATGTATTGTGTTTATGATTTTATACATAAACCCTTCTCCTATCCGTTACTCGCTCAACCCTCCCGCCCTTCCGTGTCGGGCCTCAGGGCAAGGATTGACCCTCTACATATATACCTATACCCTTAATGGGCTATATCGGGAGCTATATATGCGCAACGGGCACGCCATCGCACACACACACACTGACAAACACGGGAAGTCCGGGAAATTCGTGCGTGTAATAAAACGAAAACAACGGACAACATAAAAGGACACCCCCACGCCCCACGTCGTGTCGACCTTTCGTGACTATTAATTTTTCGGAATCCCAGACTTTTGCTGCCCACTCACGTGTTGTCTGCGCGCGTATGTGTGTGTATATGTATACGACATAATAAACTATTATATAATAATTAATAATATTATACCTATACACAATATTATATATATGATTACCTGGTCCGCGTGCGACGTTTAAAGGCTTGCCACTTTAATAAAATATTCGAGAAGCAAAGACGAGTGACTATACTGCTGACATTGTTGGTGTTTTACTTCTGCCATTGCTCAAGCTGAGGATATCATGATGATATGTACCGACCCACGTTTTTCTGCAGTCGACCATATTATATTAAACTATTTCGTACACATTTTTTTCGCCTCGGGCTAACAGAATAAAATCTGACGTGCATGGATATTATATAGTATATATACCTGCAAAATCATCATTAAATGCGCGCGCCTTCATCTATAGATAATATAGGTACCCGCGTGATTCTACCCCGCCTATTATTATATACATACAAGAGCGATTGGTAGACAATTATTGTTCCGTACGCGCAACCGTTTAAACGATCTACATGGCGGTGCGAGATTTATATACGTTTGAATCGAGAGCATTAATTCGGTTAAAGAGCGCAGCTCTCCGCCGTGTGTACCGACGTCGTGTCGTCGGGTCCATTAGCGTTTTATATAATATATACAATATATATATATACATATATACCTACAAACGGGTTGGGCGGAGACTAGAAATTTCAAACGCGCACACACTGCACCACACTTAAATACATATATACGCGCATATAAACAAGTCGAGCACCATTAAATTGATATATCTACAAGTGATGCTAGGCGGTGGAGGTGAGACTGCGCAGAGCGGGGTACACCCGGCAGAGCGGAGGGTGTGTTGTGCGCGCAATAACGAAATATACTTTAGGGGCGGTGGAGGGAGGCGAAAAGCCACGTCGCCGGTGGTTGCTGCGGCGGGAAAACAAGAGAGTTACATTGCGAGAGAGCTGCTGAAGCGGTATGGTATATATAGTCGTAGTTGTGAACACCCTCTCTCACCCCCTTTTCACCCTCACTACCACTGCCCGCTCTCCCGCCACCCGTACGTAGTAAAGACTCTCGTATATATTAGCAACGTAGAAGGGCTGTACGGCGGAGGACCACTTAAACCCCTCTCGCGCGCACACCGCGGCTCATTGGCTTTCGCGGCTCTTTCCCCGCCGGTCATCCCTTCCCGCCCGGCAGATTTCTTTCTTTCTTTCCCGTTTTACTCCAATTACCGTCACCCCGCCGCCGGTAGTACACGACAATCGCGCGCGACCCCTCTCGACAGCCATTGTATACTCACACACAAACAACCCCCTACCGCCCCAGCTTGGGGGTAAGTTTATACACGCGGTACATTGTTCGAGCCGGCGCGTTACGATAGCGCTATTTTTTACCACTCTCATTTTTTAAACCCCGTTTTATTTTTTTAAATGCAAATTGACAGACGAATTATATTCGTTACATATTATATAGGTTGGGTATACTGCTACAGTGTGTCGACAACGGGTTTTTCACACCCGGTCCCAGATACCAGAATAATAAATCCGTGGCCCGTCACCGGTCGCCTTGCATCACGATATCAATTACTATTGTATATAAGTGCAGAGAATTATATAGCCTAAAAATATAATATTATGTTCTACATAAAACAGAAGACAAAAAAATTGAATTCTATACTGTATAATGATTATATTAAATTATATACTTTTAGAATAGATATTTTATAACTACAATATTGTGTACACATATTTCGATCTTTAGTATAAATGACTTCTATACGCAAGAGCCGCATATACGCAATAATTTACTTATAGGTATATTATATTTCGTGTTTGATGACGAAAAATAGCACAATTTAAAAACATTTAGTAGAGTTTTTCGTGCACGACCCATTGCCGTTTATGTTACAAGAGCGTTTTGTGCGATTTTTATCGTCGCTATATATTTTGCTACCGTAATGACCGGAGCGGGCGACAGCGTTTCGCGTGATATGCGTGTCCCGCCTAACCGCCGCCTCCACGACGTGCGCATTCGAGTCACCGCTGCTATTAAGCTTTATATCGCGTTTCAGATTTTATGATATTATTATATATTATATTATTACTGTTTTGTTTTCGTTTTTGTCACATAATGTGTTCGTGATGTCGTGTGGGCGTACCATATATATAAGTACAAAACATTATAAATGTCCGGCAAATAACTATAATAATATGCAGCACCGCGCACATAATAATATATAATATAATATAGGTACCCACAGCTACAACTATATATTATACTGTAGTATCAAATATTATATACCATGGTTGCTAATTTTTTTTTTATACATAGAATTACACTATAATTCCCCCGTGCGTTTATCGTATACGTTTTGTAGCTGCACATTGACCGCGTTGTAATCGTGAACTTTTTTTTTTTTGTGCTGCAGGTCATAGAGACGATGACGGACGGAATTCCGGTTCAAATCTCAGCAAGAAACAGAGAAAAGCGAGGACGGCGTTCACGGACCACCAGTTGCAGACGCTCGAAAAGAGTTTTGAGAGACAAAAGTACCTGAGCGTTCAGGACCGCATGGAATTGGCGGCCAAGCTCAACCTGTCCGACACTCAAGTCAAGACTTGGTATCAGAATAGAAGGTGAGCCTAATTTATATTATATCAGTTTTGTAAATTATTTGTATGGTTATTGATTATATTATGGTATAGGCATAAGCGTGCGCACGGGGTAGTCATGGTAGGCACTTGACTACTCTGCGAACTCCCCCTGGCCCCCTCAATATTCAATATTATTATTATGATAATTGATAGTCAATCATAAAATACTTTTTTACTTTGGTAAATTTAGTTAAATGAGGTTACCCCATCCAAATTAGTTTTTATAACTTAGGTGCGTGAATATGCATATTATATATTATACATAATATGTGTGTATGTTAAAGTGTTGTGTACTTATATATGACTACCCTGTCAGAAATTCTGCGCACGCTTATGGGTATAGGTACACCACCCTCGCGTGTATGTACATCGGGTTCAAGTTGTAATATATTATGCGTTGAGTTTATAACTATATTATTATACATAGGTAGGTAATCTTTAGCTACCTAATATACGATTGCCGTTTTGCGGCGGTAAACCCGTGGGCCGTGACCATATTTCCAAACTCCGTGTCCATCATAACACCGCACTTGCAAGTACCTGCCTATATATTTCCATCCGGAGCGAGGCGCTTATTATACTATTATATATTGTAACCTACCTACCATGGTATTATTATAAATTATAATATTATACAATAATATCTACGACGAGAAAAAAATAATAATTTTAACGAAACGCCTGCATCACCCCCGACAACGCCACCCTAATCGCCCCCGAAAAAAGCAATAATAACAGTATACAACAAAGGTAGAGCACGTGAACGGTGAAAATTCGGTAATAGCTGTATATTATGAATATTATATTATGGCTCTCTAATGTATGTGTGTGTGTGTGTGGTTGAAAACGGATGTGCTGCAAAAGTCCGTGGGGGGCGGGTCGTAAAGCAATACGATATCGTGTCTGATATGCGTTTTCGTGTGCGGCCGCCGACGAAAATATTGTAATTGTCGTCGTTGCGATGAAGGGTGTGATGGTGGATGGGAGTGCGATCGAGAGGGGGTGTGAGAAGGCGTTTTCTGAAAAATATACCGAACGCAAGAGACAAGTGTAAAACGCTATGTGAGCTTTTTTCTTCGTTTTATATTATACATATATATATATATGTGTGTGCAACCGCCAACCGTGCGTAATATTATACGTTGCGAATGCAAATTCCACCCCTTAATACTAATAATAGTTTAAAAAAATACACCCTCTTCCCGCGCTCGCCTCCGAAATACCTAGCGGAGCATAATGCACGTTATACGATTTTTATCGCGCCCCAGATATAATATAATATAGGTTTAGGTATATAACGGGTTTGTATAAATACAAACGTTATAAATATATTACATTATGTGTACGATTTCGGCGAAGGGTCCGAGTCAAGTATATAGGTACCTATATATAGATGCTCCGCGTATAAATGGGACATTATAAAGGTCGGTCGTAGCGGGGATGCTGTATAGGATGCTGTATAGCAGTTATAAACAATTTTTATATTATACGCTTTTCGAGAGACGTCCCGGTCATTTGTCAAGTACGTGCGTACCTATATACATCTGAAACGTGGTCGGAACATAAGTGGTATACACTCGAAGAGGATCTATTATAATATGATATTATAGGTGTGGTATCCGCCCGACGGGGGGGTGAGCTCAAGCACAAAAGCCGCGAGCAATAATCACAACACCGATGCGCATGTTAACTCTTGTGTAAACGTCGTCGCGGCTAATATTCCTCTTATTATTGTATTGCACACAAACGCGTAGCTATAGGTATATAGGTACACCCGTACAATGTGTAAAGATAATATTATTGGCGGTGGTGAGGGATGAGAAAAGGAGACGGCGAAAAAAATCCTGGCACATGTACCGACATGGATAAATCATTTGGAGTGTGAAAAAACGGCACACACACACACCATTATAACAATAATATGTACTTATGTATTGTAACAATATAATATATAATGTATAAACGACACTAATATACGATATTATATATTGTTACCTACATATTATAATAGCTGTGACTTGAAAAGAAGCCTCTGCGGAGGTTTTCGCGTGTCATTTGGTGTGCACCGCGGGTGCGGTTAAGGAGATAATTTATAGTCCAGTATATACACCGTGGGTATAAGTGTGTGTGTGTGTGTAGTTGTATAAACTATATATACATGCATACCTATATACTTATATAACGTATATTATTAGCATCTGCTCGGCGACCGCGGCAAAGGATTGGTTGGTCCTGGTGACGAGGGGGTTGGCCACGACGAAACGACAAACATTTTAATAAAATATAATATACAATATTACAATATGTATAGGTACATTGTATTGTGTAACAAGCGCTCAGAAATTATTTCGTGTCGCCGCCGCTGCAGCGGAAGAGAGATTAGATATTTCTATGCTTGTCTTATTCGCTCCGAGATGTAGATACGTCGTGTAAAATATGTTTACAATTTTTTAATTTTTATACATAAACTCGCGTAAATATTATTATTATAATAAGGGCGATCGGTTATTCAATAATAAATATAATCGTATTGTTTTCGGCGTCTGTCCACATACACGATATTATCTACGTATAAATATAGTGATATCTGAATGTTCGTCTATCAAGTTATATGAACACTTGCAAATTGCATTATTGGTACCCCATCATAAACGCGACTTAATAAAACTGCAGTTGGCGAACGTCTTATTATAATATTATATCTTTGCCTCGACTACCTAGCTATACGACTGAACCTAACCTACCTATATAATATTATTGTATTTTCACGGTCGGAAAAGTTGATTTACTGACGACCGTTGTCGTCGTCCCGGTTGATTTATTTAATGTGCACTGCGTCCGCACCGTATGTATTTACTGCAATGGTCTGTCGTTGGCGCACTAAATCAAAGGCTAAAATTAGTTAGCGCACATTATGTTGTTCTATAGTGTTGTACTGTTGTACCTCTTACTCGACGGTCGCGTAATCACACTAGGACAAGATGAATATACACTCCGGCCCCGACTTATATAGCATAGCCTATTATATTTATACATGCGCGTTTAAAAAACTGTTTTTCGCGCCTTTGGCACGCCGCCTTGAGGACTCGTATATAGATACCGGAATTAGAATCGGTAACGACCCATTAACCGCTGCTCACACTAATAATAATAATAATAATTATATTATTATACAATAATTAAGTATAGCGCCAGTCGCCAGCAGTAGCTTTCCATCATGCAGGCTCCTTTGTAACGAGGTGACGTTCATTATTTGCCATCGATCATAAGCCGCTTGTTGCAGAACGCTAAATAAAAACGGTGTTTAGTTCAAATTATAGCCAAGAGAGGAGTGTAACGGAAAATTATATTTATTTTTATAATCCAAACTGAAATTTCTTTTATAACTATAAATGCGTGACAAATTTAGAGTGACCATAAGCCACGTTCATTAACCCACGTTATGACAAAGTATATTTCTTTGAAGATGGTGTTCCTCTTCCGAGCTAAATTCGGCGATCACTGGTTATAACATCATCATTGTAATAATAATAATGATGTGTACATTCGTCCAACGGTTTTTTCGCCGATCGTTTTAATTGACACGTCGCCGTCGCGCGCCGTCTATCGTGTCTCGCGATGAAGACGTTAAAGCGTCGTTCGCGAAAAGCGGTGAAAAAAAACCTTCCCATAATAGTGACAAAAACGAGTAAGATTAAAAAAAAAAAACGAACCGAAAATTTAACGAGAAAAATCGAGGGTGTAAAAAATCGGAGTGGTCGTCCGATTGTAGCCGCGCGTGAATCGCGTGCGTGTCGAGCGACTATAATATATAATAATAATAATATTATTTTATCTATGACGAAAAAAACGTAAAACCATAATATTAAACGTCATATACATAAACTATTATGGTACAGGTATAGGTACTATTATATGCATCGCAGTCATCGGCGCGCGCGCGAGCGACTCTAGACCGTATATAATATACTAAACATGATATCGGAATTTTGTGTGTTTTCCACGGGTCGTTCGGGTCACGTTCGCTGCAGCAGTGGCTATTGTGTATATATTATTATTATATCGAACAAGAATGATGATGACCGTACCCAGTCAGCTCGCTCGTGCTCGGGCACGTCGTCTCATATTTAATGGAAAAACACGCGTCTCTTCGTCGAGGGTTTTCTTATTATTTTTCCAACCTCCCACTCCCCGCTCGCCCGGACACTGCCTATTCGGAATCACGCGTATACAATGGTTTTTTTTTTTTATATAGTTTTCGTTCCATCCGTGTTGTAATAATACAATAACAATAAATATAGTAATAATAATAAAATAAAAAATACGAGAGGCTACCTATATATATATACCGTCATCGCATCTATATATTATATATAGAATATACGCGACTATACCGATATGATGCGTAGTGTCGTACATTTCGCCGCCGGCATCAGAAAACTCATGAAACGAATCGATGGTGTGCGTGGCAGCTGCCGCCGCCGACGCTGTTATATATACATCATTGACGTTTTAATCGATGTGTCTACGCGACGCTGAGTCGGAAAAACAAAAAAAAAAATGTCTAAAAAAATCGTACACGGTGCTCAGTCGCAGTTCGAGTCCATCTATCGTACTATGATATAATGTGTATTATTTATTTATTAAAAATTAACGGACGGTGCCCTTATATTATTATATTGCATTAATGGTACCATACGATACCTTACAATATATCACCACAAATAGCCAATTGCTGCTGCAATAGTACCTATATTATGCGACTACGTATTGTATTATTATTTAAATATAAATATGTTCTAGAGCTGCATAAAGGGATTTTGTTTCGGAAAGATTTTTCATGAGACATTCATTGTCATAGGGTACTTATTGACAAACATTTTCATAGATTTTCCCTTGTAGAGGAAAAATATCGAGCGGCGTGCTACGGTTTTCTATTGATTTGTTGATCTGATGACGATGTCCGTCTCGCCGTTGTTATTTCGATTATCCTTTTCAAAATAAAGTGTTAATATATTATATAGTATCCGCCTTTATTATAAACTATAAAGTATACCTAGGTATACATTATGCGTATTAATGCGTTCAAGGGCAACCCGTCTTCGTCGTCGATTAAAAATTATTAAAAATATATACCTAAGTTTCTTTTAATCGTCTTCTCGTTCGCTGTAAAATAGCCAAAGTTTCTTTAGCAGACAGTTATTATATATTTTTTAATGAAAACGTATTTTTCATGTATAAGTATTAGGTGTACTCTGCGCTACATAAACGAGTCTAATGACACGTTTTTTAGTTTCCATTTCCTTCCGAAATAGAATTACTATATCATTATAATAATTTGTATAATACATGCGAACGCGGTATAGTATATACCTATACCTATAATAACATGACCGTGGGGCATCTCTTATATATACAGCTTAACACGCAATAAAAATTACAAGTTTTTTTTTTAAATTTTTTGTGTCCAACTTGTGCGCGCAAATATTCTATACTTGATATCTGTGCGACTTTTAGCGGAACAACTAACTAATAGTTTTATAATTTGTATTAATTGCCCAACAAAATCACTCCAGTTTACTATAATATTATGAAATAATACGATCAAGACGATTTGTTTTGTGTATATAAACATTAAGTATTTTCCCGCACCCATGGCCTTCGCACTCATTCGCACACTGCACAATAATATATACTTTTCAGGGTAATGTGTTGGGTATACTTGTTAGTATAACATTACCTACATGAGATAAGATGAGAGATAATAAATTATCCAAAGGTAAATAGTAAAAAAATTCTATTTACATAATTCTACAACTCGTATTACGATATCAGCTCACTTATAACAATTATATAATATAAACAATTCTCGCATATACAAGTGAACATATATAGTCGAAAACTGCTCATGATGTACGATGTACCTATAGCTATATACTAAAAACAATAAAACTATTACTCTATAGTAATAATTCTTCTAGTAGAGGGTTCTGTAAGTTTTTTGTTTTTTTTTTTTTAAATAATTTACATAACTATATTAGATCAGGAAACTGTAAAACTATATATTATTATTGATGCTCAACAATCCAATTTTCTTATCACTATTTAGAATGTTCACTTCCTTAATATTTACTTGATATACTTAAAAGGGTATATAGGCATATAAAGTTGATAGTTTAAACGATTGGGCCTATTGCTCATGTCGTTCGATAAACACTACATTTTTACAAAACTATACCTATGCACATTATACATAAAGGCTATAATATGTTATATATTAATATGTGCAATTAAAACTTGCACTAGCATTGACAAAATCGTTTTCTAATCCGGTTGGTGTTGTTATGTTGTGCAGGACCAAATGGAAACGTCAGACGGCAGTGGGCCTGGAACTGTTGGCCGAGGCAGGCAACTACGCGGCGTTTCAGCGGCTGTACGGCGGACCGCCATACGGATGCTGGCCTTACCCGGCCGGTGCTGCGGGGGGCGCGGGTGGCGTCTCCGGCGGGGGCGGCGTTTCGGGCGCAGGCGGCGCACCGTCCGCCGCCGACCTGTACTACCGGCAGGCGGCTGTGGCCGCGGCTGCAGTGTCCACGCTCCAGAAGCCACTGGCCTACAGGCTGTATCCCGGCATGGCAGGCGGCCCTGGAGCCGCGGGCTCCGGCGCCGGCGCGTCCGGCCACCATCACCATCACCACCAAATACCGCCACCGCCCGTGCCGCTCGCCCATCCGATGTACTACGGCGGCGTCCACCATCCGGCCACCATGCAGCCGATGCTGGGCCGCAGCCCGACACCCGAACCACCCGGCCGGTCGTCCCGAGGCTCGCCAAGGTCGACGGTGGACAGCCGACCCGGTTCGGTGGACGTCGAAGACGACGGGTCCGACTCGCCCAACGTGGACGTTTAAGCGACGACCGCGGCGCGCTGGCCCACCGCGTGCCATAATATGATATACCGTCATCGCACGCCACGCGCACGTGACTCTATAATATTATTATAGTTATTGTCACTCGTTGTCGTGTTTAAGTGCAGCTGCAGTGTGCACGCGTGTCTACAATAATATTCTTGTATATACATGAGGCACTGTAAAATGCACCCTCAAACACATACACCCACCTAGTCGTCGTTTACTCTCTTTATTATTATATATTATTATTATTATTATTATGATTAATGATTAATTATTATTATTATTATTATTATTATTTGTATATGTATAGTATATATATTTTGCGTTCCGTACCCACCCTGACGTGAAAAAATGTTTTTTTTCTTACTTAACTTCTCATATTATAAATTGAGAAATTATTATTATGGCGAAATCTACTACGTTTTAATACTATTATATAATAATAGTTGATATTATTATATATATTTGTAAGAAAACCTTGTACACAGAACAATTTTAAATCATATTATAAATTATATTCCCCTAAAGTACAAATGTTTTATTTTTAATTTATTCATAGTTAAACCGTACTTCATATAATATACAATACATTATATTGGTATAACACGTTTTTCAAAAAAATATCCGAATTTGTTCGTTAAACACACGTGTAGGTATTTGTTATTAATATTATCATTATGAACTCGTGCCGAAGATTTTGTTATGCATTTGTCCAAACTTTTTTTTTAAATTTCAATCAAAATATGCCGGTAAGGCAGAGACTTTAACGTTCGTCAACCATCCAATTACTCGAGAGTGAAACAATATAGTGAGTATCACTATACAACCTGGGTATAACATAAATTATATTATTACCTATCTTGTTTATTAACATACATAATACTTATATTATTATATTATTATATTGTATACTAGTATGTCTATAATATACTTTTGTTGTAGGTATGTTTTTCATAATTTTGCTTACCACGATTGTTTCTTATCTTTATTATATATTATTATTATTATTATTACTGTAAATATTACTTAGGTATGTATTACGACAATTAGATACCAATATTGTATATAATGTTATAGATACAGTGTAAGTGATAAGTATCAATAATTTATTTTGGATGTATATTATGATATAGTGAGTAAGCTAGTAAATATAAATAATTATATTATACGAAGTCGTGCAATGTAATAATAACAATTTTAGACTATACGTATATTCTACCATAGTGTACCTATATATAGACATTTTATTAGTTATAATCATAACATAATAATTGTATGTACTTCTATGTTGTCGTCAGGCTTGGTATATGTAACGGTATATTTTGTATGACATATATTATAATAATATGCATATTGATATAAGTACGATATTTGTCATGTAATCGTCGAGTGTAGAGAACATGATCGTGCCAAAACAAAATTAAGAAAAAATAGTGTACGCGATTAAAAAACAAATGAACAAAATAGGAAAAAAAAATACCAAGACTCTTTTTTTTTTTATTTATGATACACTATAATAATTATATACATACCTGATATTTAGGAATCGTATATATTGTAAACAATATTTATATTCATATATTCAATTATATTATATATATAAAAGCGCTGATGTATACGCGATTGCGCGTCGCCGTACGATGGTTTTCCTTGTAAATAATACCTATCATTCTTGTTACATGTAAAAATATAATAAATAAATTAACATTATTGTTTAGAGTTTAACCGAAGCGTTTGCATTATTATTACTGCGGTACCTATACGTTACCTATATATTATTCTATATAATATACCTCATATCCAAACATCACATCATATCCGACCGATATCATCCTTTTTCACTAGAGCTCTCGTATTATATATACACGCAGCAGTCGTTCAGAGTTTCCACGCTGTGCTGTCGGTGCTCACACATGCACACACACACACACACTTTGAACGTGTGTACGATTTTCAATTGAACTCGATTCGGACCGGAGTTCCTGATCGAACACATGTCGGCCGCGCGGGGTTTCGGTCCATTCGTTTCGTACAATGACTCGTTTTTATTTCTCCCTCTCGCCCCCACCAAACAAAAAAAAAAAAAAAGAAAGGAAGATATACACGAGAATCGCGAGTTGATTATATTATTACACATACACACACACACACACACACATTGTGTCGGGCTTTATAGCAGCGTGCACTCGTATATAGTATAAAATTATATAATTAATCGCGTGTTGATGGGTACCTCCTAATGTGTTATATTTATTATGTAGTAGGTGCCTAACTAATTGGTAAACGGTGGGTCCTCGACGTCGATGCATCTGCGCAGCCGGACTGCACATATTATAGGTATTATGCGTATTACCTATATGTAAATAAATATAAAAAAAAACTGCAGCAGCAGCAGCTATTCCTAAGCATAATATAATAATATAGCGCAGACCGTTTTCATAATGATATGTAACACACATAATACTTAATGTTATATATGTTTGTAAACGCCGTATCGAGCATCGACGAGGTGTCGAAATTGATACGAAACGTGAGTAGTTGGTGAAATCGAATATTAGGTAGGTACCAACAAAATATATATTATTATTATGTGCAGTGGGTATGTACCTAAATCAGATAATATTATATACATCATGCTATGCTCACCGCGACTGCAAGAGTAAATAATATTGACATAGACGTCGAGGCAGGATATAGCACGGTATAATATATTATATATAAAAGTGACCCCCGATGTCAATTTTTTATTTTACTGACCTATTATAGGGCTATAATATTGACAAAAAAAAATAAATGTATCAAAGTGTCAACAGGACCGTTGAGGACCCGAGACCCCGTGGGTGGGCAGCAATTTTCTGTAGACTATTGTTATCATCCTTCCGCACCCAGCATAAATCAAAAATGTGGTAGATATTAGTAAAACCAGAAAACTCCACAGGTATAATTGTTAATATCACCTATTTAAGCAGTGTGAATTCTTATTCAGCATGAAACATTGTTAAAATATAAATGGTTAACCTTTAACAGATTCCACGTCTCTAGTATAATGGGTATTATAGGTAGGTAGCGGTCCTTAAACATATCAAAGGTGCGAAATATACAATTTAAAAAGACTAATGTTGGTGAAGTCCCTACAAGTATATAGTGCAGCAACAGAATCGTCAGGTAGGTAACCTATATTTAGGTACAATAACACTCATAATTTATTGCTTATTTAAAAGCTCTTTTCCTATAGCGTTATCTATATGAAGAAAATGTATCATAGCTTGATTGAAATCTACTTGTTAGCATTTAAATCTCTAAAATATTAAATTCTTCGGAACGAAACACCCTTCCAGACGATTTTAAATAATATTTTGTTACCATATACATTTTTCGACTTTGTGATGAGACGATTTCCGAACACTCGTTCAACCTACACCGTTACAATTTATATTTTATCAATGTGAATACACATTGTCCCACTCGGTAGTTAATGTTTATAAACATAATATATTAGTATCATAATACATAATCGATGCACGTTTGCAAATAATTTACAGTACGTAGGTAATAATACATAATATTGTCATATTCTATTAGCGTGCTCTTTTATTTTTTTCTATTTTGTTTAAGTTTTGAACACTATTATGCAGAATATTAAATAACGGATTGAAAAAAGTTTGAATCATATAAGAGTTGGATTTTTTACGGGCAACGAAGTGCACTGGGTCACCTATAGATAAAGTCAGTCGCCATCAAAACTTTCTTCCATTTCTTTTTAATATTTAAATTATAAATTAATTAAAACATGCGGTAATCGATGAATTTAAAGTCCATGCTATCTTCCTCCCTGTACGCATGCAAAGAATATCTGCGCACTTGTAGCTTTTCGCATGTTATTACCTATATCTGTAACACACAGGTGCAGGTGCAGTATTATGCCTATACATAGCTATATCCTAGGCTATAATATATTATTTTACATGAAGAGTTAACCAGCTATCATTTTATAGTATTGTGGCTCCGACTTCACAATATATTATAAAAATATATACAGTGGAAATGTATTGAAATAAATATGCGGTTTTAACAAAATATTATATCGTTTACATATAACTACTAAAATGTGATATGTCCCGCAGAAATATGGCTGTACCTATACATAATTTTAATTATATGGTATATCATAATAATTTATTTTTATATTATAAAAGTAGTTAAAACTAATCAATTTTGCTTTGCATATCTCATCTAGTTATTTCGTATTACCTATTTCAAGTTATACGACGCAGCTGTACAGAATTCAGTATATATACATCAACTAGTGTGCGACAATTTAGACTTGAGAATATGAAACAGCAATGAAAATGAGGTACTGAATCATTTAAAACATGGGCCTTAGATCTAAATGTGGAAGATTCTTAGACTAAATGTATATATTATGCTGCTGCCTGCTTCAGATAAGGATATTACAGTTATCATCAGAAGGGTAAATAATTAAGAACATCTCATAGACATGTAAAACAATACTATATAGCCGACTAAAGGATAATATTTAAGACAGCTGCATGCAGCCATATGCCATGATGCCATGGAAAATGTTTACAAAATTGCATGATTGATAATATATTAATATATATTATATGTAATACAATTTATGTATAGGTATATGTATAACTCATCTCTTGAGTTATTTTGTAAGCAAAATCCCTGTTGGCATAATATGGCCGCACTACTTTAACGTTTGGGAATGTATATAATATGCAATCCGCTATAAACAACTGTTTTATATGCCGATGGAATAATATCTATAGAAAATATTGAAAATTAGATTATGCATAAGATAACGATGAAGTGGAAATGAAAGTAGCCACATGTAATGAGGTATACCTAATAGGTAGGTACCATTGATGCAATAAACAAATTATCAATTTTTTTTAGGGTTGTGTACAAGAATGAACGTTTTTTGAGCGTTTAATAGAAAAAACGTGTAGAAAAAAATTATTGGTAAATAT